TAAATTCTTCTTACTTTTGTCTCCTCTGACTTGTGTTTTTAAATAGCCTGTTTTCAAACTCACTAATCCTTTGATCTGCTTGATCAATTCTGCTGTTAAGAGATTCTGCTATTGCAGAAGCTCTTAAGCTTAATTCGATCTCATTTGTCTATTTTGGCTTTTGTTCCTAGGCTTTTGGTGTTTTAGTCATAAAGTGCTTGCTTATGCCTATGTCCTGAATGGTATTGCCTAGGTTTTCTTCTAGGGTTTTTACGGTGTTAGGTCTTATGTTTAAGTCTTTAATTCATCTGGAGCTAATTTTTGTATAGGTGTGAGGAAGGGATCCAGTTTCAGCTTTCTGCCTATGGCTAGCCAGTTTTCCCAACACCATTTGTTAAATAGGGAATCCTTTCCCCATTGCTTGTTTTTGTCAGGTTTGTCAAAGGTTAGATGATTGTAGAGTGAGTGGACAAACAACAGAATGGAAAAAATTTTTGCAATCTACCCATCTGACAAAGGGCTAATATCCAGAATCTACAAAGAACTTAAACAAATATACAAGAAAAAAACAACCCCATCAAAAAGTGGGCAAAGGATATGAACAGACACTTTTCAAAGAAGACATTTATGCAGCTAACAAACATGAAAAAGTGCTCATGATCACGGGTTATTAGATAATTGCAAATCAAAACCACAGTTAGATATCTCATGCCAGTTAGAATGGCAATCATTAAAAAATCAGTAGACAACAGATGATGGAGAAAATGTGGCAAAATAGGAACCCTTTTACACTGTTGGTGGGAGTGTAAATTAGTTCTAACATTATGGAAAACAGTGTGATGATTCCTCAAGGATCTAGAAATAGAAATACCATTTGACTCAGCAATGTCATTACTGAGTATATATCCAGAGGATTATAAATCATTCTATTATAAAGACACATGCACATGTATGTTTATTGCAGCACTGTTTACAATAGCAAAGACTTGGAAACCAACCCAAACACCCATCAATGATAGACTGGACAGGGAAAATGTGGCACATATACACTATAAAATACTATACAGCCATAAAAGATGAGTTCATGTCCTTTGTAGGAACATGGATGAATCTGGAAACCATTATGCTCAGCAAACTGACACGAGAACAGAAAACCAAACAGTGCATGTTGTCACTCATAAGTGGGTGTTGAACAATGAGAACACATGGACACAGGGAGGAGAACATCACACAGTGGGGTCTGTCAAGGGGGTGGGGGCCTAAGGGAGGAATAGCAGAGGGTGGAGAGATTGGGGAGGGTTAATGTTAGGAGAAATACCTAATGTAGTTGATGGGGACATGGATGCAGCAAACCACAATGGCACGTGTATACCTATGTAACAAACCTGCATGTTCTGCAAATGTACCCCAGAATTTAAAGTATAATTAAAAAAAAAAAAAAAGAAAAGAAAAGAGATTCTAATACTGGCTTGGAACAGTGGCTCATGCCTGTAATCCCATCACTTTGGGAGGCTGAGGCAGGCAGATCACCTTAGGTCAAGAGTTTGAGACCAACCTGACCAACATGGAGAAACCCCGTCTATACTTTAAAAAAAAAAAAAAATTGGCCAGGCCTGGTGGCACATGCATGTAATCCCAGCTACTTGGGAAGTTGAGGCAGGACAATCTCTTGAACCCAGGAGGCAGAGGTTGCGGTGAGCCAAGATTGCACTCCAACCTGGGCAAGAAGAGCACGACTCCATCTTAAAGAAAAAAAAATACTTAAAAATAATAATCATAAAAACCTTATATTACCAGATTCGGTGACTCATGCCTGTAATCCCAGCACTTTGGAGGCTGAGGCGGAGATTATGAGGACAGGAGATCAACCTGGCCAACATAGTGAAACCCCTTCTCTACTAAAAATACAAAAATTAGCCAGGCACGGTGGTGCTTGCCTGTAGTCCCAGCTACTTTTAAAGCTGGGGCAAGAGAATTGCTTAAACCCAGGAGGTGAAGGCTGTGGTGAGCCAAGGTCATGCCACTGCACTCCAGCCTGGGCATCAGAGTGAGACTCTGTGCATTCTTCTATATGCCAATTGCATTTTTTCAACTCCAGAATTTCTGCTTCTTGATTTTTTAAAATTATTCCAATGCGTTTGTTAAATTAATCTAATAGGATTCTGAATTCCTTCTCTGTGTTATCTTGAATTTCTTCATTTTTCCTCAATATCACTATTTCAACTTTTCTATCTAAAAGGTCACATATCTCTGTCTCCTCAATATTGGTCCCTGGTACCTTATTTAGTTCGTTTGGTGAAGTCATAATTTCTTAGGTGGTCTTCATGTTTGTGGATGTTTGTTGGTGTCTGAGCATCAAAAAGTTAGATATTTATTATGGTTTTCACAATCTGGGCTTGCTCATACTCATCCTTCTTTTTTTATTATTATACTTTAAGTTTTGGGGTGCACGTGCAGAACGTGCAGGTTTGTTACATAGGTATACTTGCCTTGGCGGTTTTCTGCATTCATTCCCCTATCATCTACATTAGGTATTTTTCCTAATGTTATCCCTCTCCAATCCTTCCAACCCCTGCTATCCCTCCCCTAGCCTCTTCTCCCCAACAAGCCCCGGTGTCTGATGTTCCCCTCCCTGTGTCCATGTGTCCTCATTGTTCAACACCCACTTATGAGGGAGAACATGCAGTGTTTTGTTTTCTGTTCTTGTGTCAGTTTGATACCCATCAATGATAGACTGGATAAAGAAAATGTGGCACATATACACCAAGGAATACTATGCAGCTATAAAAAGGATGAATTCATGTCCTTTGCAGGGACATGGATGAAGCTGGAAATCATTCTTCTTGAGTAGGCTTTTCAGGTATTCAAAGGGACTTGAGTGTTGTGATCTAAGTTTTTGATCACCTCAACCACATCCCCCCACATTAGGGGCCTCCAAACCTAGTAATGCTGTAGTTCTTGCAGACTGTCTTGGTGGTCTTGGATAAGATCTGGAAAAATTCTTTGGACTAGCAGGAAGAGACTCTTTTTTTTTTTTTTTTTTGATCTTTACCTTCTCCCAAACAAATGGAGTCTTTCTCTCTGTTCTGAGCTCTTGTAGATGAGGATGGGATGACAAAAACTCCCTGAGGCCACTACCACTAGGACTGTCCTGGGTCAGACTTGAAGACAGTATAGCACTAGGTCTTGCCCAAGGCCAAGGTAACCATTTCCTTGCTACAACCTATATTTCCTCAAAGTCCTAGGGTTGTACAATTAGGAGGTGGTGAAACCAGCCAACCTGTGTCCTTTTTTTCAGGGTGTCAAGTTATCCTGGGCCCCAGGCAAATCCAGAGATGCTGTACAGGAGCCAGGGTTTGGAGTTGGAAACCTTATAAATCTACTCATCACTCTATTCTACTGCAGTGAAGTTGCCCTCAAAACCACGAGACAAAATCCTTTCCACTCTTCTCTCCCCTTTCCACCAGGAGAGGAATGTCTCTGTGTGTCCACTACCACCATAGGCCCATATGGAGTACTTCCAGGGTGCCACCAGTGCAAACTTATGGCACAAGGGCTCTTTGGTCAGCTTGTGGTGAATGCTGCCAGGCCTGGGACTCACCCTTTAGGGCAGTGGTCTCCCATCTAGCCCAGAGTAGGTCCAGAAATGCTGCTCAAGAGCTAAGACCTAGAATTGGGAACCCCAGAGGCCTGCTTGGTGGTCTTCCCCACTGTGGCTGAGCTGGTACGTAAAGTGCAAGACAAAGTCCCCTTTATTCTTTTCTCTCCTTTTCTCAAACAGAAAAGGTATTTCCTTGTAGCCATCACAGATGTGAATATGCTGGGTCACACCTGAAGTCAGAGTCTCACTGAATATCAATGGCACGTATTACCTGGTTGCCACTGCTGATTATTCAGGAGTCAAGGGATATTTAGTCAGCAGGTGCTACTTCTTGCCAGGACTGGTTCCTTCTCTTTAAGGCAGCAGGTTCCTTTCTGGCTCAGGGTGTGTCTAGAAATGTCATCCAGGAGCTAGGTCCTGGAATGAAGGCATCATGGCTCTGCCTGGTGCCCTTTTTCACTGTGGCTGAGCTGGTATCCAAGTTGCAAAGCAGTCATCTTTATTTTTCCCTCTTCTCCCCTTAAGTGGAATGAAGGAGTCTCTTTTGGAGTTGCAAGGTGCCTTGTCTGTGGTGGGGAGGGAGTGATACAAACACTCCATTAGCCACCCAAGCTCTTTACTCATTAGATCCTATGTTCCCTACATCCATTGGTTCTTTGCCCAGCCCAGCACTAGAACTGGTTTAGGAGTGGCAGTCCTTGTGGCCTGGACAGTCTTTCAAGTCTACTTAGGACCAGAGCACTTTAGCCTGTTATGGCAAGGATTACCAAAACTCACATTCTAACCACTGGGATGGGTAATTTACCCCTGCGACAATGGTTGATCTAAATGCTTCCTTCACAGGTGCTGACTGAGTTCTGCCCTGTGTTGGCAGCACTGAGTTCCAACGCAGTCCCATAATTGCTGTGGTCTTCCTCCCCCAAGAGCTCAGATTCTCTGTGCCATATGGCCAGTACTGGGGGACAGAGGTAACTTGTTGTCAGCAATTCAAGACTATCTTTCCTACCCACTTCATTGAAATTCAAACCAGGTACTATGATCATTCACTTGATTTTTGAGTCGAATGAAGGTGCATTTTTGTGTAGATAGTTGTGAAATTTGGTATTCCTGTGGGGAGAACAATCAGTGGAAGCTTCTACTCTGTCATCTTGCTCTGCCCTCCCTGGGGTTTATCAAAATCCTATCTTGAAACACCTCCAGGTCAGATGGAGATAAAATTTCTGTGACCTGTGCACAGCACCCACACTTTAAAAAATAGCACTCACCACACTAACTGTAATTTTCCTTTTGTGCCTGCAGATCCCTGGGGAGCAAGAGAGCCGCAGGATAGTGTAATTTGCAATAAGTATTCCCAGATGAAAAATTATTCATGAATTAATGAGAATACTCTTAAAGAGACCTATGGTCCATAGGCACTCACCTGTCTGACAAATGGCCATATAGGTTGCCTCCCACCATCATTCCAGCCATGAATAGGAATTTAGCTACTGAATTCAGTGACTGAGCATCACATACCAGATTCCACTGGAAGAAAAGGAAACCAGCATATCAATGCTTATAGCCCCTCAGTGTAACCTGATCAAAATGTCTTAAAATGGCCTACAAATTTCATTCTGTCTTCCTCTCTAGCTTCCCTTTTCTGCATTACCTGATAGTCACTATTCAGGTGTTAAACACAACTTTCTTTTGAAAGCTATTCCTAAACTTTTAGGTATTATTAGTGCCCAGTTTTATTCCATATTGAATGGTTCTCAACCTTGGCCATACAGTGAGATCATTTGAGAACTTTTAAATATTTTTGGAGACCTAAATTTTACTCCTAGACTTTTTCTTATATGACTATTGTAAGGTGTAATCTGGACATGGGGTTTTTAAGTAATCTCCCAGAGGTTTATAATTTTCAACCACAGGCTGAGCATCACTGACTTAGCTGAACATTTTTTTTAAAAACACATTATACATACATACTTGCTTAAATTTTGGTTTTACCAAGAATAAAAGAACTATGGGTCATGTCTACTTTTGAATTCATTAGACTTATTAAATGTGCAGGTATCTAGCATTCAATAGAGAAGCAATTGATGTTTGCTGAAAGAATGAAGAATAAGCACCCACCTGTGGCTAAAGGCTGGAAGCACATTCATTTCTTGTGTTATTCAAATATCCAGATCACATACACATGAGAGGAAAATGAAGCCTCTTACCTTAGTCACAATGGTGGAAGGGAAGGAGGTTTGGTCATATACCCAGCCATCTACACAGGGCTCTGTGTCTGGCTCACTTGTGTTGGGGAAGGTCCCATTCAGATGAAGGAGGTGCCATTGGGGACGGACAAAGCGACGACACTTCTCTGGCCTCAGATTTGAGTCGAATGGGATAGAGATTCTTAGGAGGGCATCCTGGCTGAGGGTCCCAGAGTTGTTGTCAGGAACAGTGTCATTGTCCAGTATATGAACCCAGCAGCGATGATCAGGTGTGAACGTAGTGAAGTTCTCCAGCCGAGTGTGATGGTATACTATGATGCTGAACATTATAAGGAAAACCATCTGGAGGATCTGGAATCTCCCCAGACCCCTAACTTGATTCAGGAGGTCCTGAAAGGCCATTGAGGCTGAACAGGTAGTCCCCAAGAGGAGACAAAATGACTGTATCCAGATAAGTTCAAGGAGAAAATATTTCCTTTCCTTCAATCACCCTAAGCGTGTGTTGATTCTGACCCACTCTCTTTTAAATCGGCCCTCTCTCCTCTTTGAAGCAGGGTTATGGAAGCAATTTCCTCAAGTGGTTGTGGAGTCAGGTAGGTATCACTTTCAATGAAATGTGTTTAATGTTCTACTTATTGATGTCTGTAGTAGCTCCATAATAGCAGCATTGAACTTTGGTCTGCACATTTTCTGTAAACAAACTAAAATAAACCTGCTACTTGGCATGCAGCCTTTCCAGAAAGAGTAATTTGTGGGACTCAAAGGTGAAGTGCTTTTTTATTTCTTTGCGAAAAGAACAGAAAGCAAATGTTTTACTTGTTAAGTACCAATTTTTGGTTAAGAGTTAATAAACACAATCTGAGTTGAATTAAAATGAGTAATACGGTGCAAGCCTTCCATTTTGGTGACCGATGTTCTGCTTTATGCTAAATCATACCACAAACTCACACTGGAAATGTTACTTGAAATGTGGAGAGAGTGGTAGTGATGAGAACCAGAGGAGTAAGCCAGTGTTAATCTCATATAAAGGTTTACTTTTACTAGCATATTGATTCTTTCAGATAGTATTTGTGAGGTCCTTTTCTCTGTCAGTATCTTGAATAATGTGTACAACAAGGTTCAAAAATCTTATAGTTCAGTGAGTAAGACAGAGTACATAAACAATTAATCTGATATTATAAATATTATGTGAGGTACACAATGTGCTATGGACGAATTGGAGATAAAATATAGGAGAAAATGGCACCTTGACTAGGACTCAGAGTTCTATTAAGATGTATACCTCATTGAGGTATAATTCATTTACCATACAATTCAGCCTTTTAAAGTATACAATTGTATTTCAGTTATTCAAAGAGTTGTGCAAGCATCAGCACTATGTCATTGCAGAACTCAGATCTGGACCAAGTGAACCTAACAGACATCTACAGAACTCTCCACCCCAAATCCACAGAATATACATTCTTCTCAGCACCACATTGCACTTACTCTAAAATTGACCACATGATTGGAAGTAAATCACTCTTCAGCAAATGCAAAAAACAGAAATCATAACAAACTCAGATCACAGTGCAATCAAATTAGAACTCATGATTAAGAAACTCACTCAAAACTACACAATTACATGGAAACTGAATGACTTGCTCCTCAATGACTACTGGGTAAAAAACAAAATTAAGGCAGAAATAAAGATATTTGTAACCAATGGGAATGAAGACACAATATACCAGAATCTCTGGGACACATTTAATGCAGTTTCTAGAGGAAAACTTATAGCACTAAATGCTCACATGAGAAATGGGGAAAGATCTAAAATTGACACCTAATGTCACAATTAAAAGAAGTAGAGGAGCAAGATCAAACAAATTCAAAAGCTAGCAGAGACAAGAAATAACCAAGATCAGAGCAGAATGAAAGGAGATAGAGACACAAAAAATCCTTAAAAAAAAAATCAATGAATGCAGGAGCTGGTTTTTGAAAAGATCAACAAAATAGATAGGTCACTAACCAGACTAATAAAAAAGAAGAGAGAGAAGAATAGAAAAGATGAAATAAAAAAATGACAAAGGAGATATCACCACCAATGCCACAGAAATACAAACTAACATTAGAGATTACTAAAAACACCTCTATGCACATAAACCAGTAAATCTAGAAGATATAGATAAGTTCCTGGACCCTTACACTCTCCCAAGACTAAATCAGGAAGAAGTTGAATACTTGAATAGACCAAAAACAAGGGCTGAAGTTGAGGCAGCAATAGCCTACCAACCAAAAAAAGTCTAGGACCAGACGGGTTCACAGCTGAATTCTACAAAATGTACAAAAGGGAGCTGGTACCATTCCTTCTGAAACAATTGAAAACAATACAAAAAGAGGGAATCCTCCCTAACTCATTTTATGAGACCAATATTATGCTGATACCAAAACCTGGCAGAGACACAACAAAAAAGAAAATTTCATGCCAAAATCCAGATGAACATTGATGCAAAAATCCTTACTGGCAAACTAAATCCAGTAGTACATCAAAAAGCTTATTCATCATGATCAAGTTGGCTTCATCCTGGGGATGCAAGGTTTGTTCAAATACGCAAATCTATCAATGTAATCAATTACATAAACAGAACCAAAGATAAAAACCACATGATTATCTCAATAGATGCAGAGAAGGCCTTCAATAAAATTCAACAGCTCTTTTGGCTAAAACTGTTCAATAAACTAGGTATTGATGGAACATATCTCAAAATAATAAAAGCTGTTTATGACAAACCCACAGCCAGTATCATGCTGAGTGAGCAAAAAGTAGAAGCATTCCCTTTGAAAACTGGCACAAGACAAGGGTGCTCTCTCCCATCACTCCTATTCAACATAGTATTGGAAGTTCTGGCCTGAGCAATCAGGCAAGAAAAAGAAATAAAGCATATTCAGTTAGGAAAAGAGGAAGTCAAATTGTTCCTATTTGCAGATGACATGATTGTATATTTAGAAGACCTCATCATCTCAGCTCAAAATCTCCTTAAGATGATAAGCAACTTTGGCAAAGTCTCATGATACAAAATCAGTATGCAAAAATCACAAGCATTTTAACACACAAATAACAGACAAACAGAGAGCCAAATCAAGAGAGAACTCCCATTCGTAATTGCTGCAAAGAGAATAAAATACCTAGGAATACAACAAAGGACATAAAGGACTTCTTCGAGGAGAACTACAAACCACTGCTTAAGGAAATAAGAGAGGACACAAGCAGAGAAAAACATTCCATGCTCATGGTTAGGAAGAATTAATATCGTGAAAATGCCCATACTGCCCAAAGTAATTTATAGATTCAACACTATCCTCATCAAGCTACCATTGATCTTCACAGAACTGGAAAAAAACACCTTAAACTTTATATGAACCTGGAAACCATCATTCTCAGCAAACTGACACAAGAGCAGAAAATCAAACACCGCATGTTTTCACTCATAGACAGGTGTTGAACAATGAGAACACATGGACACAGGGAGGGGAGCACTACACACTGGGGTCTGTTTGGGGGGAATAGGGGAGGGACAGCAGGGAGTGGGGAGTTGGGGAGAGATAGCATGGGGAGAAATGCCAGATATAGGTGATGGGGAAGAAGGCAGCAAATCACACTGCCAAGTGTATACCTATGCAACAATCTTGCATGTTCTTCACATGTACCCCAAAACCTAAAAAGCAATTAAAAAAACTTTATATGGAACCAATAAAGAGCCCACATAGCCAAGACAATCCTAAACAATAATAATAATAATAAAAACCCCGAAGCTAGAGGCATTACACTACCTGACTTCAAACTACACTACAAGACTACAGTAATCAAAACAGCATGGTACTGGTACCAAAACAGAGATATAGACCTATAGAACAGAACAGAGGCCTCAGAAGTAACACCACACATCTACAACCACTGCTCTTTGACGAACCTGACAAAAACAAGCAATGGGGAAAGAATTCCCTGTTTAATAAATGGTTTTGGGAAAACTGGCTAGCCATGTGCAGAAAGCTGAAACTGGACCCTTTCCTTACACCTTATACAAAAATTAACTCCAGATGTATTAAAGACTTAAACATAAGACCTAACACCATAAAAACCCTAAGAGAAAACTGAGGCAATGCCATTCAGGATATAGGCATGGGCAAAGACTTCATGACAATAACACCAAAAGCAATGGCAACAAAAGCCAAAATAGACAAATGGGATCTAATTAAACTTCAGAGCTTCTGCACAGCAAAAGAAACAATCATTAGAGTGAACTGGCAACCAATAGAATGGGAAAAAATTTTTGCAATCTACCCATCTGACAAAGGGCTAATATCCAGAATCTATAAAGAACTTAAACAAATATACAAGAAAAAACAAACAACCCCTTCAAAAAGTGGGTGAAGGATAGGAACAGCCACTTTTCAAAAGAAGCCATATATGCAGCCTATAAACATATTAAAAAGTGCTCATTATCACTGGTTATTAGAGAAATGCAAATAAAAATCACATTGAGATACCATCTCATGCCAGTTAGAATGGTGATCATTAAAAAATCAGGAGACAACAGATGCTGGAGAGGATATGGAGAAATAGGAACACTTTTACACTGCTGGTGGGAGTGTAAATTAGTTCAATGATTGTGGATTACAGTGTGGCAATTCTTCTAGGATCTAGAAATAGAAATGCCATTTGACCCAGCAATCCCATATACCCAAAGGATTATAAATCATTCTATTATAAAGACACATGCACACGTATGTTCACTGAGGCACTGTTTACAATAGCAAAGACTTGGAATCAACTCAAATGCCCATCAATGATAGACTGGATAAAGAAAATGTGGTACATATACACCATGGAATACTATGCAGCCATAAAAAATGAGGAGTTCATGTCCTTTGCAGGGACATGGATGAAACTGGAAACCATCATTCTCAACCAACTGACACAAGAACAGAAAACCAAACACTGCATATTCTCACTCATAGGTGGGCATTGAACAATGAGAACACATGGACAGTGGGAGGGAACATCACACACCAGGGCCTGTTGGAGGGCGGGGGGCCTAGAGGAGGGATAGCAGGGGTTCGGGGATCGGCGAGGGATAACATTAGGAGAAATAGTGAATGTAAATGATTGGGGATGGATGCAGCAAACCATCATGTCATGTGTATACCTATGTAACAATCCTGCATGAGCTGCACATGTACCCTAGAACTTAAAGTATAATAATAATAATAATAAAAATATTTTTTATCACCAGATAGGAAACCATATCCATAGCAGCAATTCTTTATTTCTTTCTTTTAATATACTTTGCTGAGGAGTGATTTACTTCCAATTATGTGGTCAATTTTAGAGTAAGATGTGGTGCTGAGCAGAATGTATTTTCTGTGGATTTGGGGTGGAGAGTTCTGTAGATGTCTATTAGGTCTGCTTGGTCCAAGTCTGGTTCAAGTCCTGGATATCCTTGCTAATTTTCTGTCTCATTGGTCTATGATTCTGTATTTCTTATTTGCCCGTTGCCCTTGGAAACCACTAATTTATTCTCTGTTTCTATGGATTTGCCTATTGTGGACATTGGACTTAC